GGAAGTTCCATCACAGCGGGCTCCGATTGGTCTTGCACACTCCTCTGAAAGGAAGCAAGCAGCTTCCCGGATAGTTGCATATTAAGCTTTCCTGGGCAATGTGGGTTCTCTGAAGAGCAAGCCAATTCATTTGACCTCTTAGACTGCTTCTTAGCAGCAGGTTCTTGGTGACACTGTCACCTGAACTGGTCTTATTTGGCAGGGCTGGATTTGTAAATCCTGTAAGTGGGTGGGCTAGGCCTTTGCACAATATAACTTGCCAAGGAACACAAAGCAACTTCCAAGTGCATCTGAGTAGCTTGTTAATGAAGTCTGAAACCCACCTTCAAGGGGTTGATCATTTGAGTTAACTAGAGTTTATTGTTAAAGATGCAAGCCTTGCTAGTTGCTGCTCAGATCACTTCCCAAGCATGGTTGAAATTCTTTCCCATTCCTGTCTTCTGGTGTCTGCTCTCCTCTCTTCCAGAGTCAGCTCAACTACCCTAACTCTTCCTACCTATTAATATTTCCTTTTTCTGATTGTACCCATTTTATGTTCCATTCATTTGGCACTGAAAATATACTCTTACCTTACTGTTTCATGTAGTCTATTTTTTAAAATTATTTACTTGAAAAACAGAGTTACAGAGAGGGAGAGTCAGAGGCTGTGTGTGTGTGTTGAGGGGGGATATTTTGCGGCATCCACCGGTTTACTTCCCAAATGGCTGCAATGGCCAGAGCTGGGCCAGACTGAAGCCAAGAGCCAGGAGCTTCATCCAAGTCTCCCATGTAGGTGCAGGAGTCCAAGCACTTGGGCCATCTTCCACTGTTTTGCCAGGTGCATTAGCAGGGAGCTGGATCAGAAGTTGGGCAGCCTGGACTTGAACCAGCACCCATATGGGATGCCAGTGCTACAGGTGGCAGCTTAATCCACTATGACAGAGTACTGGCTCCTATAGCCCGTTTTTCTAACTAGATTTTTACACCCAGTGAGGATAATGGCTTATCTTATTTCTTGTATTCCAGCCTTCAGGGCACTATAACCAGGAAGGGTTCCAATAAACTTTAAACAATATTAATAGTATCATCACTGATTTTTTTGATTTCAAGATGGAAGAATAGGGAGGGAGCTTACTGCTCTAGTCTAAGGGAAGATAGTTTAAAAAAAAGGTGGAGAGAGTGCAACCTCAGAGAAGACTTAGGGAGAAAACTGCAGAGGAAACTCCATGCAAATCAGAGGGACAATGTGGATCTACATAGAAGATGTGGACATGCACAGCTCAGGACCTCATCAGCCAAGAGCCTCAGCAGCAGCTTTGGAGAGTGAGGAGAGACCAGACTGAAGCAGCTACTGATGAAAAAGCTGCAAGAAGAGCTTGGTGTCAGTCTGACTCAGAGCCCTGTGGGGTATAATGTACCTGACAACCTAGGAGGGAAAAAATAAAGGAAGGGCACATTTCTCTTTCCCCAGCCACCCAGCACTGGCATCCTGAGAGCTGAGAGCAGGTGGGCACCATTTTGGACATATATAACAGCTGTGCCAGCTTGTGTCCAGATGCCCAGCAACCAGCTGAGAGGATGCACCTGACCATGACTGGGAGAACTGAAAGGGGGATGGGTGCTTGTGACCATGGGAGCCTGGTGAACTGAGATGGACTGTGAAAACACTGGCTGTCATTACTCGTCCAACCTTACAAAAGATGCTTGAGGATATGCTGCACACAGAAACACAGAAACATGGTCACTATGAAAGAAGGTGAAGGCAGAAAATCTCTCAGTAAAAATACAAAGGAAATCTGAAGTAAACAATAGTAATATTAGCGGGAAAATGGTAGGGCCAAGTTGTTACTTATCAATAGTCACCTTGAATGTAAATGGCCCCAACTCTCCAGTTAAAAGATACAAACTGGCTAAATAGATTAAAAAACAAGACCTATCTATTTGCTGCCTACAAGAAGCACATCTTACCAACAAAGATATGCTCAGACTAAAAGTAAAAGGATGGAAAAAGATTCCATGCTAACAGAAACCAAAAAAGAGCTGGTGTAGCCATCCTAATAACAGACAAACTAGACTTTAACACAAAAACTGTTGAAAGAAACAAAGAAGGGCACTATATGATCATTAAGGGATCAATGCAACAGGAAGGTGTGACTATAATAAATGTATATGCACCCAATTTCAGGGCAACTGGCTATTTAAAAGAAATGTATGTTATTTTTTTGCCTGGCCATTACCATTTGATTGGATTATTTAATCCATTCATTTCTGATGTTATTGATGTGGTTGGATTTATGTCTGCCATGTAATTTGGTTTGCTATTCATCCCATATTTTCATTCCTCTGTTTCTGTCTTACATTTTTTTTTTTACAGGCAGAGTGGACAGTGAGAGAAAGAGACAGAGAGAAAGGTCTTCCTTTTCCGTTGGTTCACCCCGCAATGGCTACTGCGGCCTGCACGCTGCGGCTAGTGCACTGCACTGATCCGAAGCCAGGAGCCAGGTGCTTCTCCTGGTCTTCTATGTGGGTGCAGGGCCCAAGGAGTTGGGCCATCCTCCACTGCACTCCTGGGCCATAGCAGAGAGCTGGACAGGAAGAGGAACAACCGGGACAGAATCCAGCCCCCCAACCAGGACTAGAACCCGGTGTGCCAGCACTGCAGACAGAGGAGTAACCTATTGAGCTGCGGCGCCGGCCATGTCTTACATTTTTTAAATAAGTGATTATTTTGTAACATAAAAATAGTAGTCCACAATCAAGTTTTAAAATAAATCTGTAAAATCTGAAAAAAATAGTATCATCACCAGTTCTTCATAGTTTTGTGTGTTTGTGCTTCCTGGATGGTAGCATGGCATGAGTCTGCTCAAGTGATCTTCACAGTTAACCTTGTGAAGTTTCTCTTATCCAGTTCTGAGAGGAGGCTACCAAAGCTCAGAGACCATGGGGCATTGTGCACAGTCATGAGGCTAGTACGGGGCCGGGCCATAGAACTTGCACTCATTTACCTGCACTGTCTACTCTTGTCATGAATGTGGGAATGGGGGTTCCCTTTGTTACTTGCTGAGAATACATCAGAAAAGGGTGGTGGGGGGAGGAGGCTGGCTTGGGAGAGAGAAGGATGCCCAGGCCAGCTGAGCAACCGTTCGATGTATTGTGTCCTGGAAAGTGGTGGGTCTCTTTCTACCCCAGCTTCCCCACACCCAAAACAGGGGTAACAACACTCCAGTAGGGTTCAGGGAGTGTCAAGGGAGGAAAAGGGCACTGCAAGTAAAAGTTGGCCTCAGGGACAGTTCTGGAGCTGGGCTCCTAAGACACTTCCCTGGAGGGAAGTTCTGTCTACAGCTGACCCAGTTGCCAAGCCTTGTTTCTCTCCTTTCCTTTGTTTCTGACCTCTTGAAGGAAGTAGCTCTTCTCCCTCACACCATGGAGGAGTCCATAAAGGTCTATTTCCCACATTACTACATCTGAAAAAGCAACCTTAGTTCTCACCTTCAGGATATAGAAGCCAGAAGTTACTGCTTTATGAACATAGAAGAAAACAGTTCATGCTAAAGGGATCTGGGTTCCTTCACAACATCCTGTCTTCAGGAAGAAGGGGACCTAATGCGATTCTTCCCAATCAATAGTCAATGAGGGATTTTGATTTATAGACACAATTAACATGTTCCCATGTAAGGAAGGAAAGCAAAATCTATCAAGAGTCCTGTGTATAAACTAAGTTAAATCAGCATATGAAAGAGTTATCTGTACCCCCACATTTATTGCAGCTCAATTGACAATAGCTAAGATATAAAATCAACCCAGATGTCCATGAATGGATGACAAGATAAAGAAAATGTAGTATATATACAATATGGAATACTACTCAGCCATAAAAAAGTGTGAAATCCTGTCTTTTGCAACAAAATGGAGAAAACTGGAAAACATTATACTTAGTGAAATAAACTAGTCTCAGACAAAGAGATTTCATGGGTTTTCTCTGACATGTGGCAGTTTATATCAAATACAAAAAATGTATGGAAATGAAATGGGTATCTTGTGATATTTTTATACTCCTGTGGAACTGTGGTCTTCCTACTTTTTACTTGTTGAATATTATGGTTAATGGTGAATTAAGCCTGTGATTATAGAGTGGATTAAAATTATGTCTTAGCAAAAATTCATGAAAAGAAAGAAGGGAAGTAGGGGATTTGGGGGGGAGGTAAGGAAGTATGGTTATCTTATTAGAATTGTATCTATGAAATGCATAATATCTTTTCTCCTTATATTAATAAAAAGAAAAAGAACTGTACTTAGCTACATAAAATTCTTTCCCAACTATGTAGTGCTTTTCTAAGATCCCTTTCTAACCAGATGATTCAACCTAATATCAAAATGTTTTAAAGATCTATAATTCACCATTCCACCCCCAATTAAAACAGATGTTCAGAGAAAAGGAATAGTTAGATGTTGAGAGTTCCCATCAGCTGCTCCTACTACACATATGTCCTCCCTGAGCTGGCCATGAGCACTGAGATTCTTGCCAGTGGGGCTTCTGACCATAACAGCAATTTATTTTGGGTAAGGCATGGCCTCCAGAAGAAAGATTTTAAAATACAGGTTACTTGGGCTTACTAGCACAGTTCCCACCATAACTATTATTCTAGCTGCATAAATTACTTTATCAGATTAATTAGCTGTCATCTTTGAAACAATCTGGCTCAGAAGAAATAAGACATCTTTTAATGGACATCATTGTCTGAAATGCAAAACAGCTCTATCAGGGACAGGCTCGCTTGAGGGCCCCATGCTTTCAGTCTGGGAGGTGAGAAGACAGAGAAGGATACTGTTAAAAGGGGAAGCAGAGGAGAGAGAAGTGAGGGAATGTCTGAATCAGGCTTTTATTCTTTTCAAAATTCTGCCTTCTGCCACTGCAGTCTTACTTTCTGTTTAAATGTTTTTTTAACATGCCTCTAAAACTTAGGTCCTACTTGCATAAAAACTAAAGTTGACATAACTTCCTTGTCTATTCCTTCTGACAGTTTCTTCATTACCTGCGTCTCCTCTCCTGAACACAGCTAAGAAGCATTCCTAGCCCTTGTGTCTAAATGAGGTCAAGCAATTGGGCAGGATATCAGAAGGTGGGCATCCAAAAGACTTCTCTGTTCTCTCCCTCCTCTCCCAAGTGACTGGGAGTTGTGACACAAGAAAGATGGAAAACGCCCCTTAACTGTAACAGCCCAGATCCCTGAGTCACCACCCGGAGAAGAACCACCTAGGAACGTGTCTGCCTTAGTCTATTTGTACTGCTACAATAACAACAACAATCACACACTGTAGTCTGTAAGGAATAGCAGTTGCTTATTGCTCACAGTTCTGGAGTCTGGAAGTCTAAGACCAAGACACCAGCAGGTCCATTGTCTCCTGAGGGCTGCTCTGTTTCCAAGGTGATGCCTTGTAAACATATCCTCTATAAGGGAGGACCCTTGTGTCCACACATGGTGGAAGAAAGGGAAGGGAATGGACCCACTCACCCAAGCCATTTTATCAGGGACCCCATCTCATCCTTGAGTCTCTACCCTCATGATTCAATCACCTCTTAATCACCATTACATCCACGATCCAGTTCAGGTCACACTCAGAGCACAGCCTTTGCATCTGGCCATGTTAACTCACCCTCAGCTTGGCATTAGCCAAAAACAAAACTTTACTATGTCCCACAGTATTATTTATTTTTTCTGCTGTGACTTACTGCCTCTATTGATGATTGTCATTACTATGTTGCAGGACACTTAAATCTCTTGAGCAAAACAGAACTTAAAAGTATAATTTAAAAATGATTTTATACATATCAGCAACTCCAGTTTGCTAAAGACTTTCTATCAGATACATTAAGTTCTTCGCCTTCTAATTTAATCTTCATAAAAAATCTTTTGAGGTAGGTTTATTATCCCCACTTCACAGATGAGGAAACGGGCTTAGAAAGTTTGTTAAAGATCTTAATTAACGCATACAATTAATGAGTGGGGCATTGTGATGGTGACCCGTTTCAGTGTTTATACCAAGCTCTTAACCGAAATGTGTGATTCTGCTCTTTTGGTTACTCAAGGGGAAATAAGATTAGCCCATGGAAGGACACAGTGAGGTCACACCATGAACTGAAGAAAAGTCCTGGCCTTAAAGAGGAAAAAATTATCATATCTCATTGCTTACAAAATAGTTGAGAGAACACTTCCTTTATCTCTATTCCACACCTAAAAACAGAGAATTGATTTTCCGTGATTTCCCTTTTCTGCCCTCCATTGAAAGCTTTGATTATGCCCCAGTTTTCTGCAGAGAAAATTCTTACTGCTGAGTTATAAGTTCTGCAGATGAGGAGGTTATAACCAGCCTTCAACTGTGAGACGTTGACTCCTCCACTGACACATGTGTGTCACTTCCACCAGGGGAATGCTTTGCTTAGAGGAAAAAAAATTCACTTTCTACAGAGGCAAAGCAAGGAGAAAGGTGGACACATGTGTGGTAGGAATGTGCACCCTGAAGAGAGAGGGGGAAAAGAATAAAGCTAAGTAGATATCATTTACTGGTTGTTCTTGTGGATCGGGAATGTTGAATTTCAAGTTTTCTTTTTAAGCAGAGAAGGCAGAGTTTGCCTGTCAGATCACTATCATGATTCTTGTCATTTGAATTCAAGAAAAGAATGCAGGTAGAAGGCGCTTCCGAGCCTGGTGCCCCACACATGAAAAATATTAAGATTATAGCCTTTATTGGAGGAGAACCCACACCTGGGACTGTGCTAGATGGTCTCCCGGAGCCAAGAGACCGAGGAGATGGGGCAAAGGAGAAGTATGAAGGGGTTTAGACCACAGGATATGGGGGTGGAGTCTGGAACTGTCCTTATTAGCCGCACAATCGTTTGTTCAAGATACATAAACATCCAAGCTCCATGTTCCTTCTTTGTAAAATGGAGATACTGTCATCTCTCTCACTGTGTTTGGAGAATGACATAGGCTAAAGCATGTATCGTTTGCTTTGAAGATGATAATAATGGTGATGATGCTGACTCAGACCAGAAAGACCAAGGACACGTGAGGCAATAACAAAAGCATATTTTCCATGGCACACTGGTTAGGATGCAGTGGCTTAAGCTGCCACTTAGGACGCCGCATCCATATCATAGTGTCTGGGATTGAGTCCTGCCTTTGCTTCCAATCCAGCTCCCTGCTAACGCACCTGGGAAAGCAGCAGAAGATGGCCCAAGTGCTTGGGCCCCTGCATCCACATGGGAGACCCAGATGAGGCTCTTGGCTCTGGCCCCACCCAGCCCTGGCCCTTCGACCATTAAAGAGTGAACCAGTGGATGGAAGATCTCTTTCTCTTTCTCTGTCTCTCTCTTTGTCAGTCTACCTTTCAAGTAAATAAATACATCTTTTTAACAAACAACAACATATATAGTATATTTGCTTATTTCCTTTTATTATATAAATTAGCCTCAATTTATGGATTAGAAAGATAAAAACAAAATCAGACAAGAAGGAATCCTAGAGAGATTTGGCCGGGCAACGACACAGACAGCTGGTAGAGAAGGCTTCCTGCAGGAGTCGGGACTTGAATGGTGGGTGGTGGAAGGAAATCACAAGTGATCCAGCAAATGCTGTACACGGCTCGCTGCAATATGAGATCTGGTCCAGGTTTCAGTAAGCACCTGCTCCTCAGAGAGGGAGTGAGCCTTGCACAGACCATGGTTGTGAGCACACGTGGGCATGTGGGGCAAGATGGGGCTCAGAGTATGCAGAGAGAGAATACAGAGTCCTGTAAGGTCAGTCCTGTGAGGTCCAGGACCACCCTGGACTTGCCCTGCACGGCTCTCCTTCATGTTCCAGTTAGTCAGGGCCAACCCCACTGGAGGAAGCAATCTTAGTTGCTGGCGTTCAGAAAGCAAAGTTTCCATATGGTTTATTCTGGAATTTGTCTTACCCTTTGAGCATTCTGCAAGTTTCCAACCAGTCTACTAAAGAACGTCGCTTCTCTGAGGAGCGGAAGACTCTGCTTCTGATACTAAAAGAAAGGTGTTTTTGAGGCAACATAGACTCAATAGCGATAACAATTCTTTGTGGAAAATAAAAGCATCCCTGTATTTATTTGAGTAAACAGAAAAATAGCACAATTGAAGTGATTTCCCACCTGCCAAACAACGCCGCTTCCTTTTGTGAGCGGCGTTCAGAGAGGAGGGTGACAGAAGCCCAAGGCCGGGCGCAGAGGACCATGATGCACTCAGCTAGTGCGGACGCTGCACCTGCCCACAGGCGTCCGCCTCGCTCCATTATCTTCCACCTTGCAACGACGCGACGGCCAGGCACCGCTGCCTGGCTAAAGGCGCCCGTTCTCCTCTCAAACAGCCATGTTTTCCCTGGGAGCTAATTTGTGGGGATTCATGAGGGTTAAGTCGAAGCAAAACCTCAGGGAAGCTTGTGGTAGCTCAGGTTAAGCCAGAAACATGATTGCAACTTCCCTTTTCAGTTGCAGTTCTTGTTCCCACGGAAAAGGTAAGCTTGTGTCCTGCAGCCTGGTGGTGAGGGCAGGAGGCTTTCCTTTTCTTCTCTCTGCTTCCCTTAGCTATGGGCCACCAGCCCTGGCTGGATCAGCTACAGGCAGAACTCAGAAAAACATGGCATTTGCCTGTTCACCCTCACACGTGTACTACTGTCACTCTTCTCACATCTTACAGCATCCCAGTCCTATCTGGCTCTGACCTCTAGACCCTTGAGTGCCCCACTATCACAGTCAGACTAGGCCTGAGTTGATTTTTGAATGTGTTAACAATCACAACGACCATTTATTGATTTTTTACCATGTACCTGACAGTATTCTAAACAATTTGTTCACATGATTATCTTACATTTTCATTCATTTCAAAGATGGTGGGGGAGGGGGCGAGTTAGTTTCATGTTCCATTCCCCAAATGTCCACAACAGTCAGGGCTAGGCCAGGCCAAAGCCAGGAGCTGGCAACTTTATCTGGGTCTCCTCTGTGGGCAATAGGACTCAAATACTTGAGCCATCATCTGCTGTTTCTAGGGTGTGCATTAGCAGAAAGCTGGATTAGAAGCAGAGCCAGGGACTCACTTCCAGCTACTCCAGTATGCAGCTACTCCAAACAGTGCCTTAACCATGTATTTGATGCCCAGCCCCCTTCACAGTGTTCTCTGACCACATGAGCTCAACAGCTATGTGATGCATCTATGTATATGGTGCTAGTGGTGTCGCCTCTAACTCCTTGTTTACCCCAGGAGGTATGCTGCAGCCTGGCTGGATTGACTGTTGTGTCCCTAAGGATGTGTGTTAAGATGGCCTCATGGGAAGATGCTCAGCCCAGCCATGGGCTAAGCTACGAATGCCGGGGAGTCCACAGGCTCGGGAGTGACCCTTGACCTTTGAGGGATGAGAATTCCTAGAAAGATTCCCTGATTTCTTTCCCCTTTGTGGGACAACCTGAGGCGGGTTGCAGGTCTCCCAGAGGATCCAGGGATTGAGAGCAGGTGTCAACAGGGGAACCCCTTATCAAGGCCACAGTGATTGATTTTCCTCCCTCCCCACCTCATTTCCCCATCCCCTCTCTGTGCTACCTGGGATTATTGCCCAAACTTGCTCCCCATGCTTGTTTCAAGATTGCCCTTGGGGAACCCCAACCAAGATACTCTGTGATTTTTCTCACAAAATAGGAGAAACAGAGACTCGGAGTGGCTGCCTGACAGTGCGTGCACGGTCAGCAAGACTTGAACTGGGACCATTTCTTATTACTACATTATTGTATTTTTATCAGAAATGGCCTGGGCCTATTAAATTAATTAACATGCAGCTTCTTTTCAAAAAGGATTTGAGACTTGGAACGTAGTCTTACACTCCCTCTTTCTGTTGAATATATTTGTGCTGTGTCTCATCCCATTGAGACTCAAGATTCTGCTAGCAATATAATTAGAGACAAATATAATGAATTAATTAATATTGCAGTGCTATTATCTGAAAGTGGCTAAGTGTAGTGTGCCTCTAGAGGTGTTTACACCTTACAGGGGTTTTTGAAACTGCAATGTCTTAACTCTGCTGGTGGAATTTCAGGAATTTCGTGGTCAAGGAAACCCCCTTTTCACACCCCCAAAGGGACTTTTCCTGAGTCGTTTGCTTCCTCCATCTTCTGGCATAGATGCACTATCTCGTCATCAACAGGATTCTTTTGAATGGGAAGGCAAAGTTGAACCCCGAGTGTGCGCTAGCCTGGGTCCTTTCCAGTGACAAAACACACAGCGCTCCATTCTGTACCTCCTGGCTCACCAGGGCACATGGAAGATCTGCCTGCGATCCTTGGGTTCCCAGCCTGTAAAAAGCAGATAACACTCCAGCTCGCCTTTCAGAAGGCGATGTGTCGATAAACAAGATATTGTCTACAAAGTCCTCCAAATTCTTAGGCTGCAAGGCACCAGGTAAATAGAACAAGGTCTCATGATGATTAAACTCAACGCTGCAGTTCTCAGGTCCGTAAGGGAGACATGGCTTGATTGGAAGGTGGGGAAGGTATTGTCTCCTCTAATCACCGCGCTGGCAAATTCACCACTCAGCGCCCCCAGTCACATCCTTTCTGCCTGTTTAATTTTGTTTTCATCTTCAAGAGGCCAGTCAGGCAGTTGTGATTTGCCCTTCACATTTGGTATCAGGTATCAGGTTTTGGAAAACACACACCTGTACACACACATGTGCTGCAGAATTGGTGACCTCATTTCTGGAAGACCTCAGGACTACATCAGTAACTGGACATTTAGATGCAAATTCCACAATGAGAACACTATTCCTGACCCTCTGTGAGTCTCTGTGTGGCGTGACACACAGGCAAGCATTGCCCTTGTTCCAAACAACAGGCTAACCACCTTTCCTCTTTGTGACAGCGCTGGAACTACTGGGCTTCTCAGCAAAAGCAAAACAAAACAACCATAGAAAAGCACTGCTTTCTCCTTCTCAAATTAATTCTTTCAGTTTATGCTCCTAACTCCATAAAAATGTGCTTTAGCTTTTGAAGTTTTATTAATATTTATAATGCCCTTTTGGTGCCCTTGAACCTCACAGAGTCCTGATATAAATACTTAGCTTCCAAGTGGATTGTAGTATACCTAAACTCAACCATAAACTTTGAAGTTCATTCATATATATATATTTGACTTTTCTTTCTCCTGCTTCTTGATGTAGAAGTTTGTATCTTAAATACTTTTTAAAATGCAAATTTTAATAGTTTATATTTTAATTTCAAAAATAATGCACGCTTGTAAAAATATGCAGCTGTGCATATGGAAACGAAGGAAAAAATTCCTTCTATCTGACCCATTTCTAAAATCTCATTGCCAAGAAGTAAACCATGTACTTTTAATCCTTCTAAATGAAAGCCCTTTTAGTCTGAGGGATAGAAATTGTAATCAGTCATATTTCCTCTCTTTTATTTCTGAATATTAAAATAACAAGAATCATAGAAAACTTAAAGGTACAATACTATAAAAATTAAAGTCATCCATAAAGGGGTAGAGGAATTCATTTTTTTTTTCTATGTGGAAGCATTTTCCCTGCAAAGGAGTCTCATTTCTTTATATGGCACATACCTCCCTCAGGACAGGAAGAGGGAAGCTGCCTCCTCTTGTCTCCTCACCACGTACCCATTCAGTCACTGTCTCAGATACCTGCTGCGTTTTGATTTGGATGGTATCTTGTCTACATATGAGCTGACTTTTCCATAGAGAGGCCCTAGAGAGGCCCTAGGATCTAAAATCATCTGAACAATTAATTTATTTGTGTCTTCTGTTATGCGTGCATCTTTTTTTTTTTTTTTTTTGACAGGCAGAGTTAGACAGTGAGAGACAGAGACAAAAAGGTCTTCCTTCCATTGGTTCACCCCCAAATGGCTGCTACGGCCGGCACTGTGCTGATCTGAAGCCAGGAGCCAGGTGCTTCCTCCTGGTCTCCCATGGGGTGCAGGGCCCAAGTGGGCCATCCTCTGCTGCCCTCCCGGGCCACAGCAGAGAGCTGGCCTGGAAGAGGAGCAGCCAGGACAGAATCCAGCGCCCCGACTGGGACTAGAACCCGGGATGCTGGTACCGCAGGCGGAGGATTAGCCTAGTGAGCCGCGGCACCAGCCTATGCATGCATCTTTTTTTAAAAAAAATTATTTATTTTAAAGGGAGATGACAGAAGAAAGGGACACACACACACAGATCCATCCTTTGGTTCACTCCCCAAATAGCCATTACAGCCAGAGCTGGGCCAGGCTGAAGCCAGGAGCCAGAAACTCCCTCCAGGTCTCTCAAGGGTGTCAGGGATGCCAGTATTTGGGCCATCATCTGCTGCCTTCCAGGCACATTAAGTAGGAAACTGGAACAGAAGTGGAACAGCTGAGACCTGAACCAGCGTCTACTATGAAATGGTGATGTCACAAGCAGTGTCTTA